GCGTAGTGCACTATGAGTACCTTCCACCGGGCCAGACAGTCAACAAAGAATATTATTTATCCGTTTTGAAGCGTTTGAGAGATGCTGTACGTCGCAAACGGCCGGAAATGTGGGCCGACAATTCTTGGATTTTGCATGATGATAACGCGCCATCGCACCGAGCCCGAATTGTACTGAATTATTTGACCAAACATCAAGTAAATACCATCGAGCAAGCACCGTATTCACCTGATATGGCCCCGTGCGACTTTTTTTTGTTCCCCAAGTTGAAGTTGCCACTTCGTGGAAAGAGATTTCAGTCGATCGAGGAGATCAAAGAGAATGCGACGAGGGAACTAAAGGCCATCCCTTCGTCGGCCTACCAGGGATGCATGGAGGACTGGGTCAAGCGTTGGCACATGTGTGTTGCTTCAGATGGATCATATTTTGAAGGAGATAAAATAAATTTGCCTGAAATTTAACTCTATTTTGTTTTATTTAAAAATTCCCGGTACTTTCTGATCATAGGGTATTATATATACCTGATATTTTCCTTATATATCATCGAAATTATTCCAACTATTAGTAATAAATCAAACGGCATTTTGATACATGTAGTTTAAATTAGTCACACAAAAAAGTCTGCTACCAAATTGCGCGCGTCGAGTTCAAAAGTTCCGCTAAATGCATCGAGCAGGAGAGGCGGGAGAAGAGGCTGCGTGGGGAGCGCAGCGGTATATATATATGTACACAGCGTTGTGTACATACATCACAGAAAGGAATCGGGACGTTTGCGGCGGACGAAACGATTATTGTAACGAGAGAGAAGAGGTAAATTGCGCGATCTTTTGTCTCGTCAATGTGATTCAACGGTGATCTCTATCGCTTCTTATTTATCAATCGTCCCGCACTGTGATTCATCCCAGTCGCGATTCATCAGCGGGCGTCAGTCTGCAGTGCCTCGGCATTGCGCATTCCTCTAATCGTCGTTACTTTTGACAGTTGCGCACGTTGACATTTCTTCATCGCGGCTCGTCAAAACAGAGACGCTGCGATAACACGAACAATTGGGACAGTGGACATATGGAAAATCGTCCACGGTAAAATCTCAAGGGCAGTTACAACCGCTAGTCGCGGCCGCGATTTCGGTCTTTTGCTCGCTATTTATAGAGGAAGTAGGTTATTTGCAAAATCAATTGTGAAAATAATCGGTAGCATTGACACAATGTGATACAAATGCAATGAACAATGAGTGATTAACATGTAGTGCGTGTGTAGTAAGAATTGGTTCGCATTCATGAAATATATGTATATACATGTGTATATGTATATATATATATATGTGTGTATATATAATACTACACATTATATAATTTAATTCTGCACCAAACGTTCTTTATATCGATGGATTGGATGGTTTGGAAAAGTAAGACACGTATATTGCATGATTACCGCGATTTTGTGCATATTTGCGCGATATAAACTCTACACTTTCACCAGGCAATTTACAAAGTGAAGTGGTGCTTAGCTATCAATGCTGTTGTGCTGATTTATCTCTATCAAGGAAGTTTCACTTTGCTCAAAGAGTGTATCATCCTTCATGATTAGATTCTATACTGTCATAACGTGTGTGCTAGTTTCTGGGAAAAGAGCTTGTCAATTTTCTTGTGTGATATTGCTAATGAGCAATTCAAAGATATTATTTATGTAGTATGGATGAATATTAATCTGCAATTCCTCTGCGTCAGGGTTGTTAAGGTACATGGAGTGTTACCGATGATGATCGAGTGATTCTAAGGAAGAGCATGATGTATCTACATCGCACAAGAATCTGACTCAGCTCCGTTCTGAGTCACGTGTTGTTGCTTTGCGCACAAATGACAGGATGTTAGACAGTACAGCTAATATGGAACTGAATAATGTTGGAAGCAACAAGAGTTCTATATATCTCGCACTATCATTTAGGAAACTGTGTTTGGCGACGGTTGGCTTACCACTTGTGTCACTGTTGTTCTGTTTTGTCACAGCATATATATTCCAACAGGATGACATTCATGAAACTCACTGTAGGGTAAGCAGAATTATATTGCATTTCAACACAATAAGTAACTTGGTGTCTGCAACAATGATATTTATATCTGTGTTTATTGTAGGTCTACAATATCCTTCCATCGATCTCAGCTATTACTGGCGTATCTCCCCAAAGGTATCTATGGCGTGTTAGCATAGCATTACATATTGGACCTAGACTGGTGATAGCCAGTGTTTATCACTCCTACTATTACAACATACTTAAAAGCATTGAAGATGTGCCTCTAAAGATTATGGGGAGCAGGCTCCTAAACTTGTGCTACTGGCTAAACATTGCTGAGGTAGCAGCTTTGTGTGGTGTAACATACGTTTCTAACAGGGAGAATTATTGTAAGTGATACCACACAGTTTTACACCAATCTTATTACTTTTATATCACTACACGAAATGCTCATAAAAGTGACGCTTTATTAATGTCGTCTTAATAAACGAAATCTTTTCCAGCTGTGCACGAAAAAATTTTCATAGTGTTCATGATTAGTTCACTCATGTACATGTTGACCGCCGTAAGATTGGGTCGCCTAATAACTCCAAATGCACAAAGTCTTCAGTACAAACAGGCGCTCTTTATGATGAGTCTTGTCAGTACAATCGGTCTTATTATCTTCTTCTTGAAACATCGACTGCTGTGTCACGACTTGGGTAAGGAATGAAATATATAATAAGACATATAAGAGTAAGTGAGATATGTCCGAGAGAAGAAGACAATAACATTTATTATAATTTCGAGCAGCATTTAGTTGGTTCTCGTTGTGCGAGTATGTGATAGCTTTCGCGAACATGGGATTTCACGTCACCGTGGTTCTGGACTTTCCGAAGGAGCAACTGGTCGTAGGTCACGGTTTACCCGCCACAAAGTCAGATTAACCCTTTATGATAACTCATCATTCTCATCGTCATACTGAAGTGCCTATTGCCTCTATATGGAAGTGCTACGAATCTCGATTCTTAAGAGGTAAAAATCCGGCACAACATGTGACATTGCGCAACTTCACGATTGCTTCCTTTTTGTGATATTTACAAAATTATATCGCGCACTATTATCATGTTAATTTGCTTCGGCCGAGACGAGCGAATACTCAGCGTATTTTTAATCTTTATTTTAATCCACTGTCACGCGCTATCGGTTACAACATTTCGCCCCGGCAAGTGCTCTCACGCGTGCACTGAGATTTGATTTGAAGACGAGAATTAAGAAGGAAAATCTCTAGCGCTTCCAGAGTGCGGCACTGGTTACTTTCCAAACGGTGAAATACGTAACGGCCTTTTAATATCAATTAGTGATAGAGGAATGTATGATTATGATGTAGCGCGAACACGATAATTAAGCAACTATCCTACGTACGAACGGCATTTAACGTTGTCGTAAAGTGAATATTATTACTCGCGCGATGTGCGAGACTTGTTGTATAAAGACTTTGAAACCTTCTTTTATAGAAACTTTTGCAAGGTGAGAATTCTAGTCGAACGTATTAATTCTAGTCGCAATGTCTTTTATCCGCGCGCTTTACGGTACTCTTTTACTTTATATTATAGATTCACATGAATTATTATAGACTGTAGGATGCATTTACATCAGATGGACTTTGCGAAACGTTGGAGAGAATCTCATGTTCATGAAATGAACGTGCTGAGTGACAAAGACATTGTACAGTTGCGTCTTGTTGGCGAGTCTTACGCAGGCAACAATTTACTCATTCGTCGAGTCACACGCTGTGTATAGAATTCCGAGATGTTAACGCTAATGTTCACGAACCGCTCCACTCGGCGTTAACATACCGCAAACGTAGGATAATAATCGCTCCTATGTTTGCACGTAGCATTACGATAGTTCAATAATGCAGCAACCACCGAGAAATATTCACAGTTAGCTGCAATCGTATGTAATAGCGTCGCGTGACCACATTCGGACGGGTGCGTTTGAGATAAGATCGATATCCAAATTTCTCATGCGGATTTGTAAGAAATTGTTAAGATGAGAGTTTCTATCGGATCTTACGACTGAAACCCCCGTTAATTTCGTTCCGTAGACGGACGCCGATATATAGTCGCAGTGTGATTCTAGATAGCACTCGCAGTTCAACGGTATCATTTTTTGCACGTTTTTACACACGAACATTAACTGTGTAGCGTATTTTGATATGAGAAGTTTTTGTTAAGGTTCCTTGTATATCGTTATCGCGAGAAAAACAAACCGTTGATGCATTATATCGCTAGTTTCTCAGCAGATCTGTTGTTTGTCGCGAGTAGCCGATAGCGCGAAGATCTCGTAGCTGTGTAAGGGGGGTCTTCGTCATTGTTACGGAAAAGGGTAACGGTTTGTAATAACACGAGCGTATGATATCTGGACGGTTCCTACTGTATTATACTTCGAATCGTTTTTGTACCGCTACGTCATACCACGATAAGAACGAATGCACTCGGCAGCCGCGCTTGATTTATCGAGGAGACCGTTGTCGGACGCTAATCAGTGCCAAGTGACGCACTAAAGATATATCGTGGACTTTTACGGGTTTTCATATGGAGATGCGCGTGTTGTGTGTGTTAATAACGATCTCGAAAGGTCTTTAATGAATCACTTTTATCTCACGCTTCGTCAAGCAATCACCGTGCGACCACTGCTCTCTAACAACGTTCGTAGCAATAATTGACAATTCTTTCCGCATAATGTCTCATTTTCATCAAGAGGTATGAAAATTAGAAAACACGGCTGGATTGCGAAGGAACATTTGCTCTGGTCGATCGTTAGTTTACGTTAGCATTCTCCAAATGCATGTACAACTGCATCAAAGATTCAAGCATCTCCTCTCTCACTTGTAAATCCCTCTTTGAGTGAATCTAAAGTCAATATGTATTTTGCAAATATTTCATTATGTATAGTTTATCTGAAATCAATTACTTCAAATTATCTCTCTCTGTTTCTTCTAAATTCTTAACATTCAAATAGATTCTGTAATTTATTCGTGCAAATATGTGTCAATTTCTTCACAAAGAAACTTTTCATTTTCTTTAAAAACTTGTATTCAGATGCGCGATCTCTGATGCATTCGCATGTGTTTTAGTTAATGGATATCGAAGACGCCAGTCACACGTTAAAAGCGAGTTATATACTGAATGTCTTATATATAAGTAGAAATTAATAGTATGTAAGAGAGTTTTTTAGAAATGTAGCGGTGATTTATGGAAATAAGTTGCAAGATAAAAATATAACGAAACGAGAAACTTCGAAGACTAAGAGTTGTATTAATAGTTATTACTTTGAAATTCGTCTCAAGTGAGATACGCAGATTTGAATGCAATGTTAGATAAGAATATTTCAGTTGAATCGCTATTACAGATGTATATGTCGTAATTCAATTGAAAAACTTTGATCTAACTCTGAATAAAAGTCGGAGAATCTCACATGATATAAGTTTCAAATAACAACTATTAGTACAGATCTAAGTTTTCCTTTCGCGCTGTTTTTTTTTGTTCGAGAAGAAATTTTAAAGTTGTGTTCAAGAAAAAGAATATGTAATGAATGTTAATTCTGTAAACATTACTGTTGCAGAGTAATGTTTCCGCAAAGGTAGCTGCTAAATATTATTTTGGCAGCAGTCTCTTTTATGATCGCGACTTGTCGAAATTCTTGAATTTGTTATAAGATTATATTAGCACACTCTCGGAGTAATCCGAAAAAAGATAAAAGAAAGCAAAATTTAAGAATTAAAAGCATAAAAGAAATTATTCGGTACACTGCATTTGCGTTCTCTGAAAATACCGCCAAATGAAAATTTACCTACACATCGGAAGGTTGATGTTCCAAAGAACATATTTAAAAACTCGTCACACAAATTGGCGATAATAATAAGACATATCTGTCGAGAGGTTCTATCACACTCGAAACTCTTCCTTTGCTGTAAATAACGCCAGCACGATACAGTCATCTTGTACAAATGAAAGAGTGGATATCAATGGTATGCTAAAAAAAAAAAAAAAGAAACAATGTGAGAAGAAGGAGAAGAAGATGGTATGACGATTTTCCCACCCTTCGTTAGTATGACGATTTAAAGAAAAAAAATTTGAAGCGAAATCTTTACACAAAATACTCACTACCGAGTGGCAGCTATTTTTCTGCGACTCGTATTTTTCGAAATGATTTTGCTACTAAAACATTTTTTTCTAATTTATATCACGTATATCGAAATTATCAATAATGCGCTACGATCTGACGGAAGAACTACTCGTCCGCGATGTATGTAAACCGTTTGGGCAATTGACAATTCTGTGATAATAAGCACAAACAGTTTCACGCAGTCTGGATTCAGTTCTTTCTTAAGACAATTATATCGGACGATGCCGCCTTCGTTATTCTTCAAGTTTTCCAAGCTCTGTTGCTCTGCTCTCCACTTGTATGCAAGCCCGAGAATTTTAATACATGATTTACGATACATCACATACACATGCGTCAACATATGATGCAATGTATATTATCACAGAATTTGTTTCCCCGAATCATCTCTCTACTCTCGTATTTAGTGATGAATCGAGTAGCGAATTTATGTACTTAGGAATTATCATTAAAGTAGAGCATTGATTAATCAGGCAAATACTAGAGCGGTAAATCTAGCTAATTAATAATAATAATCTATTCTGAATCTCTCATTTGAAAATTTTTTCGAAGAAGTGTGTGAGGATCAATAACACTTTTCTTAAGAAAAAAAAAAAAAGAAAAGGAAAACAGACAAGGAGGACCAGAAATCCGTTACCGAAAGCAAGCGCGATCTCGTCCTGATAGATATTATTATTTTATGTAACGCGTATATATAGATTTTTCTTATCTTCTGCGACAAATTTCGAGATAATCGAATGCGAAGAAATTTTACGGTGGAAAACATAATTATGCCCAACGTCTCTCTCCGGTACCACTTTTATCAGTCACGGTCTTGTGTATCGTAGAAATCAGAGTGAGCGTAATCGAGCCTCAAATCCAACTGAAACCTGCGGCATTGGCGAAGGTAATTGAACTCTGTTGACCTTAATGTAGAGAATAAACGAGCGCGATCAAATGGCTACCGTGTGACACGAACGAGAGAACTTTCGAACGTCCCCACGAGTGAGAATTTAATAAGTCGCTTCCTTCGACCGTATCGTGAAATTGGACGGAGGCTCGAGCGATTCCTCGCACTCTCGTGGCTCATTAACGATTTTACGTCGTCATTATACGAAATATAGTTGTATTTTCCTACACACGATCGATCGATCGAGCATCGGCCGATGTGACATTCGTACCGGTGCTCTGTATTTCCAATTAACACGACGCTGTAATATAGTGTATATTTCTTGTAATCGGCTTATAGGGCGGGTGGTACCCTATGCCGTGTGATTTCAAGCGTTTCTGTATGTGATGACTTGTAAGAAGTTACACTGATTTCGACGGGCAAGAATGATTTCTACTTGTATCGCGTAACGAACGATTGTCGAATAAAAACTATCATACACAAGTGTCAGCAGCATTGTTCTTGATTTCACCTAATTAATGATAATCTGCAACACAATTTTCTTCTTAAGAGTTAAGACAGATAAAGTTTTTTGTTAGTTTCATCTTTACAGCTTAAATATGCACAATGATTCCTACTTAATCATAACAATGCAAATGCAACATTTCTGTTTTTCCTTTATCTATCGAGTAAAAACTATCATACACAAGTATCAACAGTATTGCTCTTATTAATCTCATTGAATAAACGACAACTTACAACATAATTTATTCTCTTTTTAGAAATAAAGACAGACAAATCTCTTTGCTATCTTCACAGTTTAGATAATGATCCCTACAAACATTTAATCATAACGATGCAAATGCAACAATTTTGTTTTTCCTTTATCTGTAATAATAATCTGTTCCATATAATATATACGTAATACGTAAAACTGTACTCTTTAAGGTTATCTCCACTCCTTGTCTTTGACCTTTACATAAGTATTTAGTAATATCGTCTCTTCGTATTTTAAATATTTTTTTTGCAAGCAACATAGAAAAATCATCTCACCTGCTTGCCTCTCATTTAATTAGCGCTCGAACGGAGAGTTTGGATCCGACTCTTTTTCGCGTTTGCGTCGAGGAGAACGATAGTCCAGTCTTCTGCGAGAGATTCGTCGGGTATTTATCTTTCACGAACAACGGGGAATCGCGTAACTGCATGCCGATGTTTCCCGTCGCATCTGTAAACACATACATGTTTTCATACACGTCGACCTTTTTACGTCAAAACGCTCGGACCGGACGGGTGGGTTCGACGAGCGTTTGTCCACGCCTTTAATGTCACTGGGCCGACCAGGTTTTACGTAAAACGCTGATTTATCAGTGATAAAGCGGTTCTTGCGTAGCATTTTCCGAGACTTCGAATCCGCGATGCATATTCAAGCGTTTGGCGCGCGAAACGAAAGTGCAATTCCAGAATACAAGATCTCGCGAATGATACGAGCGAAAGGTGTGATTCTTGTCGTTACTTTTCTCACGCGATATCTCAGGATGATGTGCGCAATTTCTCGTGACTTTAACGGCGGACTCGAAGCACACCTTTGTCCTACCGCGAAAATGTTATGTCGAATGTCGCGTTCCTCGACTGTTCTCAAACACCTTACTGAGAGACCTCACTTATTTGAGATTAAGCAAAGAATGTGATTTCGTACCGCAGCTGTTTGCTTTACAAACGACCTTCGATCCACAATCGACAATGATGCGTAGATCATCGATGCCCGGTACAACATACGACATCTTGGTTGCGAAACGAAGAAGAAGCAATACGTGAGACAAGTGGTTACCCCGATTAATTAAACAAAAATTATACGTCAACGATTGTATCTATTGGCGTAACTTATAAGCGTGAGAATTGATGTTGTAATTATACAACGCGAAGAATTCGATATTCCGTAGCTAAATATCACAAGAGAATAAAAAATAGTTGCTTTCACGAAATTGAAAGAAATACAAATAACGACGCTAAGCAACGTCTACCCATGATCGTGGTTCTTTAGATTGGTGACACCGTTATTGGAAAGCAGCTCGACATAACGATCGCCGTATATCGCGTGCGATTATCCCGTGGAATTATGATTAGCTGCGCTTCTTCGGTCGATTTTGTAGTCATGCAATGGGTAAACGTCGAATGTCTACGATCCGTGAACAGGTGTGACGACAAGCGAACGTTCAAAGGGATGCAAGGGTCGCGGAGACGACAGCATCGTCAGTGGCGGGTAAATCGACGAGTAATTCACTTGCTATTAAAATCTCAATCAGGGTTGCACTCCAAAACGTCCTTTTTGAGAAAAATTTTATTCAGTGCCTATAATTCACGCGCGTTACATACACTGTAGAGTATCGAGTAAAATTTTCTCAAAAAAGACGTTTTAGAATACAAACCTAAGAGAGAATTCTGTTTATTGACTACGTTTACTGTAAGGTAAAAATACCAACTGGATACGTACCAAGTACGTATCTAATTTTAACATTCTTGTTGTTTTGATTTTAAATACGAGTATATCAACTTTAAATATGAATTTTTAATCCTTAAACATAAAATATTTATATATATATTCAATATATGTATATTCTTTATTGAATGTTTGAATATTTCAATATTTTAAAACTAAAATAACAAGCATGTCCAGAATTAGGTACATGCTAGGTATGTATCCAGACATAGGTACTTTTAATTTATTTTCTATTTTCTTCTGTTCGTTAAACTTTAAGTATATATATATGTGTGTGTGTGTGTGTGTGTGTGTGTGTGTGTGTGTGTGTGTGTGTGTGTGTGTGTGTGTGTGTGTGTGTGTGTGTGTGTGTCTTTCCTTCTTGGTCATTCGAAATATAGAAAATGTAAAGCGGGGCTTACAATGAGAACTCAAGCCATAAAACTTAAGCTTATCCCGTAAGCCGTAAGAAATTGATCAATCACAGTCGATTATTTTCTTTATATTTGATTGTGATTTTGATTGCAATTTCTCAAGTAGCAGACTCACGTCAAAATAACGTCAAAAACTGGTCATAACTGGTCGATTGACGTTAAGTGACTAAATAATGACGTCTTTAAGACGTCTTTTTTGTGATGTCTTAATGACGTTTCTGTACAACATCTTAATAACGTATTATTGACGTTTAGAGACGTCATTAAAACGTCATTAAGTTGTCTTAAAATGTCGTCATCGGTCTGTGATATTAGACCGTCATTTTGACGATATTTTCACATTTTTTATTATTCCTTGGTCATTTTTGGTCATGAACTGACCAGATTTGGACGTCATTTTGACGTGAGTCTGTTACTTGGGTTTCTCTTACGGTTTCAAGCTTAAAGTTTAAAAACGTACAAGAACATCCGTGATATGTTAAGTTTACGGATTTCTTTGTGCCTTGATTCAAGTTTAATTTTATGTACAGGTATGGCCATTACATTTTCAGTACTTAACGTAACGTAACAAGTTACGGATGTTTTTGTGCGGAAGCTCTAATTTTTATGGCTTAAGTTCTCATTGTAGACTCCGCTTAAGATAGCACCTCTAAAAGAAACTAGCTCGAACTACGATACCGAGTCTACGAAAAATTTGAATTATAAATGCAACTTCACGTCGATATGCGACGCTGCGTCGTTTATCTTAATGACGCCGTTATCGACAAATGATCCGGAATAACGAACAGTCGTCGTGCTGGTCCATGTCACATCGATTAGCTCGCGGAATCGCGATCAAACGTGCTTCTCTAATCGATCAGCGTCTGTTCATTGAGTGAACGTCGAGCATCTCAGTGATAAGTGAGTAAGAATAACAAGGCACGAATAGTCGGGAGAACGCGACAGCCGACGAGAAGACATTCATCACGGCAGCGATAAACAAGTAGTATTCATTGAATTCATGTATTCTCAATTTTCGATCGTCTATTTGTGGCGATTGTTGTTTCTCCAATCGTAACCTAGCTTTCCCGAAATATCAGTCAAGATATGAATGTCGAGGCGTGTATAGATCTGTTGATTACATTTACTGTATTTCCTGCTTTCTTCTGTTCGTCAGATCTCAGTATATTTATGTATCTTTCCCTCCTTGTCGTCCGACGTATAGAAGGTGTAAGGTAGCGCCGCTAAGAGAAACTAGCGCGAACTACGATGCCGAGAGTCTACGGAAAATTTGAATTATGAATGCAACTTCACGCCGACGCGCGACGCTGCGTCGTTTAGCTTAGTGACGCCATTATCGACAAGTGATCCAGAGTAACGAACGGCAGTCGTGTGTTAGGCCACGTCGCGTCGGTTAATTCGCGAAATTGTGATCAAACGTGCTTCGCTGAGAGATCGATCAGTGACTGTTTATTGAGTGAACGTCGAGTATCTCAGTGATAAGTAAGGATAACAAGGCATGAACAGCGGCAAGGGATAACGCGGCAGCGACGGATAGGTTCGTGTTTACTAAATTCACGCATTCTCAATTTCCGATCGTGTGCTTGTGTGATCGGCGATTGCCGTGTCTCCGACCATAGCTTAGCTTTTCCGAAATATCGATCGAGATGCGAGTGTCGAGGCAGGCATAAATCTGTTAACTACGCTTCCTGCATATTTCCTCGCATTATTATCCTCTTTCTTGCTTTCTCCTGTTCGTCGGACATGAAGCAAGTATGCCTCCTTCACTCCGTTTTATTCAAAGCAAATATATAGAATATATAGAAAATATATAGAAAATGTAGGGCAGCGCTGCTAAAAGGAACTAGCTCGACCTATGGGCTACGTTTCGAAATTCACTGCCAGTGCTGAAATTCTATAATATACGTAATATAAACTATAGATTTTCAGTATTGATAGTGAATTTCGGAACGCAGCCATGATGTTGAGCGTGTGAAAAATTTGAGTTACGAATGCAACTTCACGCCTGTACGCGACGACACGGCGTCGTTTAGTCTTAGGGACGCCATTATCAGAAATTGATTGGAAGCGACGAGCGATCGCCGTATGTCGTTTCAGTTAGTCCGTGGAATCGTGTTAAACTGCGTTTCTCCGGTCGATGCGCGAGTCGTATAACGAGCTGGTGTCCGAAACGGTGAACGATGAGTGAGTAAATACAACAATAAGCCAGCGGTAGGGGCGATGCGGCAATCGACGAGCAGACAACGACATTGTCGTCAAATCGATTGGTGAGTCATCCTTGGTTATTGCTAATTTTATCTCTCGATCGTTCGTCCGCGGCAGTTTCTGAAATCACGACATCACTCTTTCGGAATATCGCGTGTCGGGATACTTATTTCTTGGCGGGTACAGAAAGCACAGTACGTAGCACGATTGGAAAGTATTTACAGAAAATATGACATGTTCCATGCACGGAATAGTTGAATGACGAACGTGACTTTACGCTTAGTCTCGAGACGCCATTACCGTCAAGTGATTCAAAATGACGATCGATCGCTGTGTATTCCGTCAATTATACCTATGATTAGCTTCTCCAATTTATCCACGTAACGCCTGATTCGTTAACGAGACACAAAGGAAAATTTATAGAATATTTCTGGGAAATGTATCGGTGAATAATCCGGCTATTGTGAACTCAAATTACCGTATTGAAATTTGTCTTATTGATTCGCTGTCTGAATCTTACTGCTTGTGTGTCATATGTGTCATCGGCTCTAACGATACGGAATTGTGCGTGACGTGTGAAATGTGTGAAAAATTCAAATCATTTCACGCTCCGCTGCAATTCTGCTCATAGTTAATATTTGATTTCTAATATTTATAAAATACCGTGTCTCGCAGGATATTTGTCAATTCAGTCTCTGTCAAGAATTTAACTTAAAAAATCCACCTTTGTATAAAATTAAGGTGACTAGATTTTGGTGACAAGGTTTTATTATTCTAAAAATTAAGAAGAAAAAGCAAAGTTATTATTGTATTTACCAGAGATGTGAATTTTCTTGAGAAGATCTTCGTTAAAAATATTTAAGAAGCCTTTGGACTGGGATAAGCTGAGACAATTTATCCCGAATCCGGAATAAATCAGTGTCTCGGATAGTATTAAAAAAAATTCGAATAAAAATCGGGACTATACTAGGAAAAACAGGACATCTGATCATCTTAATGAAATCTCTTAATTAGAGATGCCTTGCAAGAGGTTAGAATCTTTAATGAGACGGCTGCATTTACGAAAATGCAGCAACATACATACCATTTGTACACGACGTGTAGCGAACGTGATGCATACCATTTCTGCCGAGAAAAACACCGCGTCTTTTCCCGAGCATCCTCGTTCCCGGTGTGTTCTCCGTTTCCTTGACCGCGCCGTCAGTTTGTCGTACTTTGTTTGCGGGACCTCTCCCTGTAGTTTTAACTTTCGAGGAGGTCGCTGACTTTTCAATGCACAGTCTGCATCGCCATACGAATCTAGGATCGTAGACATCGACGTCAACGATCGGAGGCTGATGACACAGCGGATGATAGGCCTCTTGGCACTCTTGACACTCCAGCAAAATCAGGGCTCCCAGTTTCGCCCCGTTGCATATCTTCCATTTCATATGTGCGTCGTAAGCATTACAATTCGTTAGTTCATTAGTCATGCGGCAGCTCGATAACGATCCTGACCATCGGATTTCGCGCGTATAAGCCGAGAATTACGAGCGCGCGAATTATGAGCCGATTGAACTTTAATTGAGGAGAACCTTGCACACGTTCCCGTCGGCGGTTAATCCTTCGTCGGGAATCGAGATCCTGGGAACATCCTCGTCGTTGCAATGCTCCTCGAATGCTTCTACGTCGGCTGCTCGACGATCCGCGATGTTCTCCCCTATGAGGAGAGAAGTAGTCTCGGGACTGTCCATTTTTTTCATCTCGCGTCTCGTCGTGCGTCCCTGCGCGTATTCGCATCTTCTCGAGGTGCGTGTCGCAGGAGTCGCGTCGTCGTGCAGTTCGATGCTCTGCAGAAATCTCCTTGGCATCCTGGCGGCCAGGGTTTTGCCGCGACCGTGCTTTTTCTCGATGCAAGCGTCCAGCATCCGACGGAGCTTCTCGGCGCTGTTCTCCGCAGTTGAGTGCAGCAACGCCAGTGCGTTGGAAAAATCTTTGTCGATATCGGACGTTTTTTCGGCGTGCATTCTTCGTCTCCGAGTACACCTGGGTATACCTATGTTTTGCGAAATTATATCCTTCGGGAAAAAGAATTTCGGGTGGGCAATATAATCTACGCGAATTACCACAAATTATTCAACACTAGAACGAGAGTAGGGTTAAAGTTTGGTTTCGTAAGAGATATAGATACAGCTCGCGAAGAAAGAAATTGAACACGTGAAATCGCGGGAATTAAAGAAATGCGATGAGAAGGATTCGTGCGTATTTTCCAAATTTCTCAAATCACTCGGCTCAATGTTGACTTTGGTGTGGTCGGCTGAGGGGTTAAAGAACTCGGAGACATTTTGAATGTTTCGAATTTGACGTCGTTTACTCACGCGCGACGAGATTCGCGTTCTACGAATTAAGGCAGCCGACCGTGCACGAAGGAGTGTAGCGGCAAGTGGTCCCCTGGACCGGTAACAATCCCGGGAATTGCACGGATAGGGACGTTCTACGGATTTAGACATGCGAATAGTATCCTGCGCGGACGTTCGCCGTGAAATGTGCCGAAGGAAGGTGGCCGGCATTTATCGGCTCGATCATCGACTCGCCGCTTGTAATATCGACGGAATCGCATCGACGCACCATTGTTCTCGTGACTGTTTGTTAATAGAATCCAGTGCTTATGGCCGTCGTGTTCGTGGCCGGGGTCGGATACTGGACATTGAATATTCAACTAACGCATTTCGATGTTACCGAACTATCGACGTGAACGCGCCTGATCGACATAAACGCGCCGCTCGTTGTGGTAATAACGCGAAGGAAATATATTACGAGTCGTTGTGTTTATCGCGCTATCCAGCACCGCGATTTCCCAATAGTGCACGAAACGTATACTTTTTACGAGACTTCGTAGGAGACACGCTTCGCGTTCGATACGAGAGGAAGGAAGAACATTATCGGGAAATGTTTTAATTGCCCAAAGTTTCAAATTTCTCACACGGATGCTTTTACTTGCTTTTATTCTGAACTTGTTGCAATACTCACGGTTGTTATTTATTTCGTGTACCTTGTACGAAAACTACTCGCCATACGAACGATAAATATTTGACTCGATGCTCGATGGCGGAAAACAGGCTATAAAACTTGATTCGATAAAGAAAAGTGAGAAAAATTTCTTCGAGACAATTTTTCTGGAATTCGTACATTCGCGTCGGAGGGAACAGATTCCCTTAGTTATTCGTCGTTAGTTTTCTCTGTACCAGAGCTTGTATCCGCGTGACGCACTTTTTTCAAGGGCTCTATCAACACGGTCCCCTTCGTTTTCTTCCTCGCGCTTTTTCGGAGACGACGATGCGATGGAGTCGGGGGAGGTAGGGTTGGGTGAGCGGAAAAGCATCCAATTATCATGCCCGATGCCGGGGCTTCTCACCCTGCACAAGCTCGGTACCAGAATCGACTGGAATCCGGCCGGGAAGCCGGGCCCGGTAGACGTCGAACGAGTGGGATTATTCCGCGTCCGGGTCGGGGCCGGGGGGAGGCGGGCCGAGGGAACAATGTCGGAAACGACGGGGACGGTATGCCGAGATATGCAGGATATCGCGCAGAACTGCGATCCTTCGAGATCTGAGAGGAGAGAGAGAGAGAGAGAGAGAGAGAGAGAGAGAGAGAGAGAGCGAGCTATGAGGATACAGCGTGGCGCAAGTATAGTGAGCCAGATATGTACGCCCCGCGGCGCCGCGTCGGCAAGAGAGGAGAGAGAATACGTCTCTAAGTGTATTATCTCTCCGAGGCGAGAAGAGGAGGAGAGGGAGAGGGAGAAAGGGGCAAATAGAGATAGATAGATGGATAGCGAGAGAGAGAGGGAGAGAGAGAACAACAGAGAGATCTCGCTCGCCACGTACCGCCTAAATATGTAATAATATCTACGGGGAGATACCGGCATTCCTCGACCTCGAGAAGAATTCGATCAAAATGTGTCGCGATACTCTCCCGGTATGCCAGGTGAGGTACGCGCCGCGCCTCTCCTCGTCTCTCCTCGCCCTCCTGCCGCAGCTTCCTACCGCTTCTCGCCCCCTTCGACCCTTCCGCACCCACGCGCCTGCCTGTCCTCCGCGCCTCGTCGCATCCCCCTGCGTCTTCTTCCGTCGCCGCTTTGTCGTCGTTTGCACAGGATCGGATACAATAAGGGCGACGTAGGCATCCTTGTCGCGTTCTCGCACTTCGCTCCTCGTATTGCGTCCTTCGCGTGAGATCTCGGCCGCACAAGGAAACAGAATGAGATTTCGCGAAGAGGCTACGATGCTGACTTCTACAAGCGAAGAAATTGCTTAGTAATATCAGCTGATATCTTAGTGGCTGATTCGAACTTAAAGGCTAATCGTTTCGTTGCTAAGAATTGGCTATGAAATGCTGTGAGATAGAAATGTATTAACTGATATTAAAATTTTATTCTAGTAACTCAATATATAATATATTTAAATATATTATACTCGTAAATCTTGACTTTATAAGGAATGAATTTTACAACTGCATCGTACCACCGCTGCGCGTGCATTGATTGACCAATTCTCTCATTGATATTCCAATAATTACCGTGGCAGAGTTTGTACAAAATGGTACAGGATTTTTCTATACATTTTAATAAGTTTTGTCTGCACATGAACATCTAAATCCAAACACTCTGTATAATCAATGAATATGCAAAACAATTATATTTTTTTATTTTTAATATTATTTCTTTTTCTTCTCTTTATTAATATTTCTTTCATTGGCGTTGGTAATGTACGTAAAATAACTGACACAACGCGTACCAACGTTCATGTGAGAGCAAAGCTCATAAAAGTGAGCAAAACAGTCCGATTCACCGATTCTGGATTGCTCTTTTCAGTGAAAAGGGTTAATCTTCGATTAAGGAACACCTTTTTTCGTAATTTTTTAAATTTTTAACTTGGTATTTCCATTTTTAGTTTGGTTTCATTGAAACTGACGACCTTTAACGTCGAAATTTTTTCGCAAAGTTAAATAATACGCATTAATTTCACACGTGAATCACATCGATGAAAATAAAATCGCGAGTGAAATTTACAAAGGAAAATGTGAGAGGGAGTAAGAATCGGTGCATATGCTAAAAGTCCCCGAGCAAAGACACGAATAATTTAAAGTTGCTTCCCACGAAGCGATTCCGTCTAAAAGAGGAGATCCTTATATTGCGAGAGCGTCCCTGCTTTTAGGTGCAGCAGGAATTTCCGAATGCGCCATTCGCGTGATATTTTAATACTTTATACCTCACGGTCCTTGCGAGTAAATCTCTGCCATGATAAGACCCGCCAGGAATCTCACCCCCGCGGAACATCCGCCGTTTATAAGAAATGTTTTCGAAGTTTATGAGGGCGACGCGAAGTCCCGGGGTATAGGGATGAACCTAAAGCCTTCTTTACCCTTTCCCCTACTCTCTCTCTTTTTTATTTCGTTTTTTGAATAAAAGCAACGCCGATGGAGGAGAGACGTCGCGTCGCAAAACTGACAATAAAATCGCGTCGTCGCTAAAATATCGTCGAAAAATGCGACGAGAAATTTTCTCTGTCGAGAGTTCGCGCCAACGACATAAGGTGAAAATCGCAATTTTACGCAGCATTACTTCTGAATTTAATTATTAGAATAATACCAAAGTCGAAATTATTCATTATTTTACACACCTGAAAATATATAATGTATTGCTTACAAAAGCACTTACAAAATGAAAAATGAACAGTCAATTACTGTAGAATATCGATCTATTCCTCGGTCACAACACAGTACAGTAACTTTTATTATAAAATATTCTCTGTGTCGTGTAAACCTCGCACATACACTATCTACAGTTGGACAAGTTGTGCAATCGATACAAGCAATTGATCAGGTTGCGAATGACAGATCGCGATGTCGTGCTTCTCTGCGATTTTATGGAGAACAAGTATATCGTACGTATGCTTATGATTTTGATCGTAATTCTACGGTGTGTTTGAACTCGCCTCGGCTAACGCAATATCCAACCTCAGCATTGTTATGACGTCACGAATTTAGACGGGGACTGGGATTAGCTATCCTCCGTATCAGACGATGCAACTCCAAACAATACGCGTACAATGGATGCATCGCGCGAGATGACACTGTGTCGACGGCCGCTCCAAATTGCGACTGTGTGATGTGACAAGGCTATATATCGTAACTTTCTCCTAATCCTCTCTGCACATTGCTCGCGCGCATAAGCAAACGACTTTTCTCATCACGTTTTCTTGCTTTCAGTTCCCTTTCTTCCTCCCTCTCCAAAAAAAAAGTAGAGTCACGACAGAGTAAAATTTTCGCGAAAATTTGAGCGTATCTTCTAAACGCTGAAATCAATTGATTCGAAGACTTCTGACCTTTGTTGCATCTTTTCTGCGCTTGATGTATGTTTATTATAGATGCAAGTCGTCTTTTTTGGTTAGAATAAAAATGGATAAGTAAAAATAGAACTAGAAAGGTAGGAAGATAGAAATAGAGAAATAGAATATGCAAGGGTGGACACTCGGAGATTGCAATCCCGTAACTCGGCGAACTGAATACCTCCGTTTTAATTCATCTGTGCTTTTCTCTTCTTTTTTGCAGGCGTACACATCGGGCTCACGTGGAAGGACACTCGTGATGCCAACTCGACGACGCTGCAGATTTCTTGCAGGAGTCAGGTGCGGAGTGCCGACGCGTTGTGTCGATGAACCTACAAGTCAACCTCCAGGTAAGATCAGCAGACATACGACCCAATGCAAAGTGCATCGTTGCATAACGCGAAATCACGTGCGCGCTCGGCGCTATTTTTCCACGCGCGGCGAATAGAGGACCGGCGGGAATGTGAAACGTATATATATATATATATATAGATATTTGTCTTTTCTTTGTTTTATGTTTGAGTATTCGCGATCAGAGTGATTTCCCGGTGGCATAACGGTTTCCCGATTCCGCGGCGGGAACGGCAGGTTTTTCCCTGCGGCGGTCGTCATTGTTCCAGCTCTTTTGCAATTAGTTATCGCCGGCGTCGTCACGCGAACCACGGCACGGCAGCCGCGCGCGGTAGTTTTACGACTTTGCGACTATCGACGTTAAATAGGGTCCGCGGCATACCGGTCGCGCCGTGTGCGCCCGGGTCGAAATAGCTCGAATAAGTGGCAGGGTATAAAGAGCGGGATAATTGTCAATTTCATCGCGAACGAGAGAAGGGACTCCGCGGCTCCCGCGCATTAAAATAAGATAAGCTTCTCCGCGCATTCTCTCCCTCGACCGTTCTTTTCCCAGCTATTAAAGCTCCCGCTCCTTCGCCTCCACCGATTACCGTTAGGGAAACGCGTTGTCGGCTGTGGCGTTCGGGAATTAAGTGTTTGGCGGAATTTCTATTATTATCTAGTTGCGACGCGACGCGATTCTCTCTCTCTCTGGCGTCCTTAGCGACAAAGGAAGAAGAAAGCGACACGCAGGCTCGCGGATATTAAGGTGTAACTCGCCTTTGAAATATACATCGCGCGAACAACGCTCACGTCTTGATAGACTGATGTACGTTTTGATGTACGTCAACTTTGCAACAACTTTGAACGTATTAAATCACGAAATTCAACAACATTTTGACTTTGTAACTTTGTAATAGAAAAGAGGATATTCTTGTTTGGAAAATACATTAATTTTTGACATGTTAATCTTATGCTGAAATTCTAAACAGAATCGTAAATCTCGTAACTTGTTCTCATAAAATTCGAAAGAACTTATGAGTAGATTTACAATTCTATATACAATTCTCATAAATGTAATGAAAAGAATTGTTTCCATCGCCGATTGTCGTGACAATCGTGAAAGTCTATCTGAACGACTACGTGTATTTCCGATACCACAAATTCAGGTTACGTCAGCAGAGGTAGCTGTGCGGCGGAATAAAGGAAGCTCTTGTGGAAGGTCGAGTGAATCGATCGGCGGGTAACGGGAGTCTCTCGAATATCGGAATAAATCACTTTCGGCGTCTATCCCGGGACTTGCGCGGGACATTGCAACTCATGTTGGAGCAATCGCGTAAATTCGTTCGTCATCGGGCTCCTCGGAACAGGGATTTAAGATTTGCTGCACGTGTTACAAGTCGTAGGCGAGAGAGTAGTCGCGCTGAGCATTTCCGCGTTGAACGTGCGAGTTTGGCGTTTGTCGTGCTTGAAATACGGTATCGGGGGGGGACTTGGCGGCGGTGCTTTAGTAATCTCGTTACATCCGTACTCGTGAAAGGTGTGTGAGGTGGAAAGTCGCGCCTAAACGAGCGACTCGTTTCCGCGGCGGGCCGCGTGCCGAAGTTCGAGCGGCGGAAATCGGACGTTAACGTAATTAAGTAATTAAAGCGCGCCGGGCGAAATCGGAGTGGCCGTTCCCATTCAACGTGTTTGCCGCGCACAACACTACGTTGAAAACCCCCCCGTTCAACTCCAGCGGCGCAGCGCGTCGCGTCGCGACGCGTCTCGTCCCGTCCCGTGCCCATCCCGTCCCTCCGCGCCCCGTCCTTTCGCGTCGCGCTTTGCCACGTCGCGCTGGCCCGTTTGTAAACTTTTGTGCGGCACAATGCAGCCGACCGACAAAAGGAGCTCATTGCGCGGCAAACGTTTAAAGGCATTAATTACGGCGGGCTTTGTGCGAGTCGCAAAAGTTAACAGCTCCGGGCATTATTTTCGTATGCTGTGTTTTGGTTCGCGAGAGAGAGAGCGCTCTTGTTTGACAACGTCGTTATTAATTTACGTTTGTGTGTGTTTTCATCCCTTTTTTCGAAACACCGCGATATATCGTCGTGCAGTATTTTTGAAATGTTGTCCCTCGTCAGTTGATTGATCATATTCGTATCGGTGCAAAACATATACCTAGGAATCATATAGGCGGTCTGTTTAGGAAAATACGCGAATAAAGCTGTGGAATTGATTTCGATCAAGACTAGCAAAAATGGAATAGGTAAATCATTCTATCACGTTGATCTATCTATTTTGTTGCACGAACACGTAAAAACAAATTTCACGTCTGTGTACCGTAACTATAAATTTATCGATTAGGATAAACTAAAGAAAGTATAACAAATTGGCTACACTTGTCCGAAAAACATTTCTTTGCAAGCTTCTTGATGTAACCAGAAGCAAGTCCCATTGTAATTTGTATTTTTGGTCGAAATTCGATTCCAAATCTTCTTTACAAAAAGAAACTACAACACTAAGAAAGGTACAACACTATACATAAATTCTTGGAAAACATGACAGAATAGGGTTTCAAAAGATCGAACGGAGACCGTTTAGTCGGGAAACCGCCAAGAGAGTCTTAAGCCGATGCACTTGCAACAGGGTCAGTTCCCTTTGTGCTTACAGGCAACCAGCTGATGGTCCCTCGAATCCATTAGGTGTACAAGTGAATTCCACCTTGCGCCTTATCCGAAACGTTCTGCTCCTAAGTACGTAAACGTGTATTAGTTATTTCGGGAAACAAATATAGATTGTTTCACGAGGTTGACGTAATGGTTCGTATTTTGCATACTTGATGTCGAATTTAGTTTACTGACGCAAGATATGTTTACTCGAATCTTTATTTCTCCGAAAGTATATCACAGCTTCTGTGAACACGTATTCGACGAGTGATTTCTTTGAATCTCGATATGATTATATAGAAGTGAATTAAAAGAGTTGATGAGAATTATAAATTAATTGACGAAAGTTTATGCACGAGTTACATCGCGTCGCATTACTGGACTATCGGCTGGACTCTGTGTGCACTAAAAAATATTCATGTATCCTCCTAGTATTTAGAAATGATTTGCGTTATTATGAGTGATAAAACGAGGAGAATATTCTCTACATTTTCCCCGCGCTGTGCAGTGCATTTTAACTCGTCCACGCATTCGTCACTCGGGATGCGTGAGAGACGCGTTAATTGACCAGTACGAGCTTCCTCTCGGAGCCGCGCGATGGTGCGTTACGTTCTCATTTATTAATGCTTTCATTTGCAAAGCCTAAAATGCAACCCCTGAAATTCAACAAGTGCTCCTCAAATCCGGAGCGAGAGAGCGAACGGTCGAACGAGCGAGCGAGCGAGCGAGTGAGAGAGAACGAGACAGTGAGAGAGCGAGTGAGCAAGAGTGTGAGTGAGCGAACGAGCGAGCCAACATCCAACCTCTATTGCGTGCGTGACACGACTGATCCACCTCGAACGCGGGGTGCGGGGCTCATCGGGGTCGTGAGGTGGGGGTTCGTTCTGTGAGGATTGGACGGGCAGTCGGCTTCGCGACGCTTCGGCCATCGTCGGCCACGATCGGATTCTGGTTTCTCCCGCGGCCGCCTAAGCGGTGTCAGCGTGTGCGCAGACCGGCTGCGCAGCAGGCGTGTGCGTTGTCCAGATTCTTTGTGCCATTCCTGGCATACCAAAAACAAGAGTGGTGACCGTGCTCGTATTTACCGGGTTGCAGTCCTGCGCGCTAATATAACACCGTGTGAATTTCGCTCGCGAAAATAAAGGCCGCCCCCGCGCTCGCGCGTGTGCCGCCACGTCACACAGCTCGTCCAGTGGTAAGTACACGATACAAAACAGTGCTGAAACGCCGTTCGCGAGAGAGCGCGTCCACGCCCGTGTGTGTCCGACGACGGCGGCGTCGTCGTCCCGTACCGTGGGCCGCGCACGAAACGGGTACGACGGCAGCGATATTACCCGCGGAGAGAGAGAGAAACACGGACGGACGGACAGACTGACGAACGAAAGAGAGCGAGACAGAGGGAGCGAGGGACGCCATGCGTCAGACGGAAAGGTGATAGACAGAGAAAGAGAGAGAGAGAGAGAGAGAGAGAGGCCGGGAGTAGCGTGTGTGTTCTTTCTGCGTGAGAGAGTGGCCGTACGAACGAGTGAATGCGCGACGCCGTTATTATCCACGAAACCGACCGACACTCGTCGCGCGCGTTCGGACGCACTTGTCAAAGCCGTACTTCCGGTGGAGGGCGCGCAAGTTACCGGTTAGGTTTACACGCTCTCTGAAAGAAGATACAGAGTGCATAGACGAAGAGAGAGAAAGAGAGTCGCATGTACGTCAGGTAGAAGGGCAAGAGAGGAATGGGAAGGGAAACAAAGAAACTGCATTGTCCATGAGCATCGGTGCAAAGTCGAGCAGTAATCGAAAGCGAGACAAATAGCTGCTCTCGGTGCCGATGCGAGCCTAGGTAGAGAGCTGTTTACGCGAAGCATTTGGTGCGTTGTGAGTCTCTTGGTGTTTACGAGCGCGCGTCGCTGTGTCAGCTGTGTGTCAGCCGGGGTTACGAGCGCGGCGCGCGATTCTACGCCGTGTACGTGCGCGTATCGCGCACACGGCGGATTCGGCGCGACGCGGCTCGCCGTGGAGGTTAGGGCGGCCCTCTCTCCATCTCGCTCTCTCCCGCGTACGACCATCGTTCGTCGACGTTGTGTGCGGTGCGGTGCGGTGGTGTGGTAAGCTGCGTGCGCGTTTCCCCGCTGCCGGCGCGCGGGGCGCCGTTGACAGAAACGCGTGCTCACCGCCTAGTCGCCCGTCCGCCAGCTCGCTAGCTCGCTCGTACATACGTTCGTTCGTACGTACGTACGTTGGTTCGTTCGTTCGCCTGTCTGTCCGTCCGTTCGTTCGCTCGCTCGCTCGCTCGCTCCCTCACTCACTCACTCACTCACTCACTCACTCACTCGTATGTCGCGCTCACGCTCTGTCCCGCGTCGTCGCTCGCCGCTCGCTTGCTTCTAGTGAATTCGTATGGTGAATTATTGATCCGCGGCGGCGTGTGCGTGCGGAAAAACCGCGTTGGTTGGAAGCCAGAGAGAGAGAGAGAGAGGACGCGGTAGGAGGTGGGAGCAGAGGAAGAGAGACAGACGCACAGATAGGTAGATAGAGAGATATCGAGGAGGGGGAGCGGTGGTAGGGAGAGACAGAGACGAATAGGGTAGCCGCGGAGTGGCGCGCGCGGTGGCGCGAGAAAGCGCTTAAAGCGAGCACACGGGGTGAGATGTGCGCTGGTTGGTGTGGTTGTATATTGTTTTGAAAAGTGTTGGCGCGCGCGAACGCACGCGACGCATCGTGTTGTGCTCGTTGCAACGCGCGAGCTTGGAAAACCGGACGCTGAGAAAGAGAGAGAGAGAGAAAAAGAGAGACAGACAGAGGGGGAGAGAGAAAGAGAGAGCCGGAATTATCTCTGCTCCGGGACGCGAGAGTGTACATTTTTGTGTCCCCCGTCATCAATCGCGTCCGTCCGTTAACCGCGTATACACACACGGCGTATGTTGTGCTCCTCCACGCGTCTTGTGTACTTCTCTCGTTGTCAAAGTGTACGTGCGTGCGTGCGTCCGTCCGTCCGTCCGTCCGTCCGTCCGTCCGTCCGTCTGTCTGTCTGACTCTTTGACCGCGAACGCGTATACGTGTGTAACGAGACCGGAGCGAGAACGCGGGAAAGGCGTGCGTCGTCGCGTGCGGGGTAATGCAGGCGTCGCGACGCGACACGCGAGACAGGACTTTCTCGACGGGAGAAGGCCGGTGAGTGTCGCGGAGTGTGAGAATTGAACACAGGAAGATCCCGGCTAATCTTCGCGCACGACAGTTTTTGCGTGGACACGCGAAAAACCGAGAGAAAGAAAGAGAGAGAGAGAGAGGCTCCCCGGGGACGTTGTCACGAGGCGGTTTTCGTCGCGGTGACGAGGAGGGTGTGTTAGTTGTGGTGTTGTCGTCGTCGCGGACCACGCCGACGACGACGACGGCGACGACGACGACGACGACGAGGAGGTGGTGGAGGAGGTGGTGGAGGAGGAGAGCGACGGGCAGCTGCGTCGTCGCGCGGACTTAGAGAACGCGAACGCGGTGTCGTTTTGTTGTACGCTCGCTAACGCGCTTCGATAATCCCGGAGGAAGCAACGTCCCACCTTCGCCACCGCGGCTTGGATGGATACTGTGCATTATTTCTGGAGTGAGTTTCTCTTTTTATCGTGTACCTGTGTATGTGTGCCTGCGTGTGTGAGTGCGAGCTCTCCGGCTCTCTGTCTGTCTGTTTGTTTCTCTCTCTCTCTCTCTCTCTCTTCCTTTCCCTTCTCTCTTCTCTGCTCTCTCCGTCTGCTGACGGGATCGCGAATACGTTCGCGAGAGAGTGCTCTTCGCGCTCTACACGGCTGCAGCCGGTTTTTGTCCTCCCTCTAGCCAACGTACACTACATCGTGAGACTTGCTATTTCGCTGCCGTCGGGCTCACGGGATAAGACACACTCACCCGCGAACAGCTGCGCGCGATCGTCACGCTATTGTTTACGCGTCTTCCTCGCGCTCTCGGCGTGTCTAACCTGACCGAGCACCTAGAATACAAATCCGTCGTTGCGACGAGCTCTGCCACTTGAGCTCCGTGGAAAGAAGCTTCGCCAGGGAGCTCTGCTTTACCTTTAAATCTATTACTTGGCTCAAGTGCGATCAAGTGAAATCGAAAATACAGAATACAATGTAAAGAAAGTACGACTTCGCGTTTATACCAGTTTACGCAAAATAATAACTTTATATCCTTGCCTTTCTTGGGATGGATCAAGAATATATATGCATTTTATGTGAAGCGTATAATCGCAGTAATATACACATATACGAATCACGAGAATTTTTAAGTTGCGGATTTTTAGAACACAGACACACGCGTTGATTGCACAGTCGAAAGTTTAGACAGTGAAAAACGGGAGCGTGTATCTCGTAAAAGATTCACTTGCGAAGTTTAAAATAAAGCCGCGCTTGAGTAGCGCGCATCACTCTCTCTCTCTCTTTCTCTTTCCCTGATCGATCATCCGGTCTCGTTTATCGAATCGTTTTCCAGACAGCATCGTTCCGATCACGGTAATTTATTTTTAATACCCGTTCAATTGTGACGATAACGCGCGCGGCGGTTAATTCGCAGATTCATCGCGCCGCGCGTCTAATTTCCCGATTCGCTCTCTCGCACTTTCGCGCGCGAATCCGCCAGGTGAGGAAAAGGGAAACCGTGATCGCATAATCTCTCTCTCCCTGTCGCACCGGTGGTTTTAGGCAAAATCGTGCGTCAAGTCTCACCTCAGCGATCTTTCTCATTGGAGCGTGACCGGCCGCTAACGAACACGAAGGGAAGAAAAATGCCGGGCGACAGTCGGTGCGCGCACGCTGCGCACGTTATCGCGGTGGGTTATCGAAAATAATTTCGCGACAACGCCACGACGTAATGCACCGTTACATAAATTTAATCGGATAACTCGTTATCGTGATGAGCGAGCAGCGAGACGCGGCTGTATGTATGTAAAGACGCGTCAGTGTTAACGGGCTGTCGATATTACTTATTCGATGCGCCACGTGCATCGATATCGCCCTCGATATTACCTTCCTGAAAGATATCGATGGGACACGGTTATCGTCGCAATCCCCGATACTAATCGACGAAGAAATTCAGTGCTGTGCTTGATGCGTGGAAATTCATCTCGCGCGCAATCAACTTGGAAAATATATACGGTGTATTTCGAAGAATTATTTCCACGTATTTCAACGCTTTCAGGCCCGTATTAATAGTCATCACTCGAAGCTTGTCTCTCGTGCGAGATGCTCAAATTTTTATTCAGAACTGAAATTCAGAAATTTGTCAGTCGGATTTTATGATATGTGTGACATCATCTCTGTAATTACGATTCAACTGAACAACTTATCTAGCCCAAGACGAAATTTTGATCCTACTTTCGATCTCGGTGTGCCATTTGACGTCTAGTTAATGAGATTCTGAAACTTTTAGTTTTAAACATCCTATATACATGAAACATTTTTTTAACATGAGAAATTAATTTGAGCAGTAGAGGATTAATTTACTAGCTACCATAAAGGTCCTCTTCAGAACCTACAGGTGGAATTTTGTGCGTTTTCTACCGTTATTCAGTGCCGAGTATTCAGTTACATTCATCTATATATTTCAGTTTCCATGTGTGTGTATTTCGCGTACACTTTTAGAAGATACTTTTAGAAGATCTTTTAGAATATACAGCACTCGAGAATCTGAACTCAAATCCGAGTATCTCACTTAAGGGAAAGTTCAACGACTATTAAACTACTTGTCGTCTATTTCTGATTTCACATTTTTGCGTACGTCGATAGAGTCAGATATTCGTGACGGAAAAACCACGAAATTCCGAAATTATTGAACGAGTCGTTCGTACGAACTTGTAAATAAGTACCCCGCTTTATGAAAGGTCGCGATCTCTCGCGCGTCGGCTTCACGTCGAATGCAGGCGTGCATCGACGTTCTTCTGATTAAAGCGCCGAACTCGAGTTCCTCTCAAACGGGCAACGAAATTCCTCCTCGCGGTCTTTTTGGAGTCGTGCGCGTCGCAGTCTTACTTTCACGCGCCGGCAAAGTTTGATTGCGAATTCGCAATCAGGAGAATCCTTCTCACAGAGAGACCCTTCGTCGGGCTGGTTCGCGAGAACCGCTGGTTCTCTTATTTTCATTCCCTCTGAGAAGTTGTAACTCGCGCGATAACAGGCACGAATATTTAATTTCGTCTGTCCCTCGACGGCCGCGCGATGATGAATAATAAAACTCGGCTTATCGATATCTCACATTCGATACGGGCCGTTATCCAGCCGATCTATAAATATCGCGTGTCCTTTGTTTACAATTTGCTGATAAGGGAGCCACTGTGATTGCACGTTGTGTATCTGTGTGTCGAGTGACTACTTCGATATCTACGCGTGGTTAATCACTGAGATAAGGATCCGTGTACGGCAAATAGCCAGCCGTACACTTCCTTTCTCGACAAACCCGATTGATCGGGAGCCGATGCGTCGATCGCGCTTTCGGGGCACGTTTCTGCAGCCGAGATGACGAAATCGTTCGAAAATACCTCGGCGACTTGCGCACGCCCTGGACGCAACGCATCGCCGAATGGCGAGACTGGGAAATTACGCGCTTTTCCGCTCGCGGTCTAGGTAAAATAAAATTGCACGCGCGGCCCGCCTTTTATTTACAGGATCATTAACCACGCACGCACAGAAAAATATCCATTGCATTAAAGAAAATGTTACTCGTTGCAAATTTCTTATAAGCTTATATATCCGAAGATCGATCATGAGTTCCTGATCCTAAGCATCACACTCATTCAAAATACATTCTGAATCTTAACAAGTTTAGCGATCAAGAATACCAAAAAGAAAAGAAAAATTCAGTTTGCTCATTGCAGTGGAAAAAAAATTTTAGTATTTATAATATATTGAGAAAAAAATATATAAAATATATAATATTTGACTGTGTGAGGTCAAAATTGACTCTTCTTTCGAGTACTTATCACAATGAGCTTATTTTAAAATTACTAACAACTATATTTTGAGTCTTATCGGAAAGATATTCCTTGTTGAAGATAAACATTACTTACAAAAGAAGAAAAGTAAACTGAAAAATGACTTCTTTTAGGTAGAGTGGTATTTTTCCGTACACACATTTACGTATGGAAACCGAGATGAGAAAGACGTGCAATCACGATCAAAAGGTCGAGAACGCGATAGCTGGAAAGAAAACTGAATATCAGTGACCAGAAGAGCTTAGATATTTTTATATCTGATAAGCCCATTGTACAGTAGCCGTAAGAGTATATAGTAACACGTAAACAGTAAGCAAACTGAAGATTGAAACAAACAGTCGATTGTTTTTGATCTGTAAAGCTGGAGACACGCAACAAACGTAAACTGTAAAGCTTAAGCGGTAAGT